TTCAATTTTTAAGTGAATGTCTACATTTTTGCTTTCTGAGACAAAAGCTCACTATGCAGCCCAGGCTGACCTTGCACTCATGGCAACCCTCTTGCCTCTGCCTCTCAAGAGATGGGACTACCATTGTCTAAACATCTCTTGCTTTATTTCAAATGTCAGCTGATTTTTTTCTTATCTGAAAAATTCTTGCAGGCTGCAAGAATATTAGAGATTCAGATTAATCACAGGAAAAGAAACCCCAACTAAGACAACCATGAATAGCAACGCAATCCTAAGTAGAAAGAACGTTAAGTGGAGGCAGCTATATTGACAAACACAGAATAACACAGGGATAACTTTGACTGGCCAAGGGCCTGTCAAAAGGCAGGCCATTTATTATGAATATGTGGTGCTACCCAGTTTCTACTATGAAATTCTTGCGTGCCCAAATATTTCCAGACCTGCTGAACTCCTAGGTTACTAACCAACTCCCCCGCTGAGCTTAGGAGACAAGCTGGCTGGAGACATATAGCTTTGCTTCTTGTACAAATGAAGCTCAGGCCATCTCCTCATCTTGAGGCCTAGAGGCTTTCCAGAGCAAATGACTGAGAACAAAAAAGGATTTTACATATCAAGGTGGAAGGGAGGGTGGAGGAACATTCCTGAGGAAGCAGAGAACTGTGTGCTGTGCCTAGGGAAAGAAAGGGCAGGCATTTTCTGTAGAAAGGGACAGAACTGCATGGTGAGAGAGAAGAGAGAAAGACAGAGGTTCCGTAGAGGGTAAGCAGATCTTGGGTAGAGTTTTCTGAGTGCCAGGAGTAGAGAGCAGCAGAGATGGAGAAAGAGGATACAGAGGACGAAGATGAGGCTGGAAGCATAGGAGTTAGTGTTAGCAGGACTATGAAGTAGGAAACCATATCCTACTCTGGACTTAGCTAACCTCCGGGCCACTGGGTATTCCACAAAAAGTCATTAAGTCTTTTTAGGATTAACTTATCCTTAGTGTCCATTCTATCTGTCTTCTTCCCATTACAGGAATAATGCACTAAATATTTAAAAGGTTAATCTTATTCAAAATATAACATTTTCATTCCTTTATGTATACAGTTAGTGTTTTCTCTAACTACAGGTACAGAACCTGCTCAATGGGAACTGCAGACACACTGAAATTTTCAAATAGCAAAATCATTCATAATCCTACCACTCAGAAATAAAGTATATGGTCCTTAGTCTTCTTTGTGATGGGAACAACGAGCTCGTACAATGACATGGCTGTGATGATGCATTTTCTTACATTTGTTAATACATTCACAGTAGCACTTGAGCAGATTTTATTCCACAGGTTATTTTTAACATACATATACAATTTCACTATTCGCATCATACTTTAACTGCTCATCTATATTTGACAGTTATTCCTGAAGATCTGCATACTATGTTCAAATGTTTGTAGAGAATCAAATTTAACCTTGGCATATAAAATGGACAATAGGCTGCGCTCCATGTACTCTCAACTCACATATCTATTTTAAGAATGGTGAGAATTAAAGGCAATAAGACATAGACAATAGCTTATTCTTTTGTTTTGTTTTTTATTTTTCAAGACAGGGTTTTTCTGTGTAGCTTTGGAGCCTGTCCTGGAACTTTAAGCTACTTCACTTAAGGTTATGGATGGTTCAACAACTGAAGAGGGCACCTTCTGAGAGGAATCAATTCCAGCATAAAACTGTGAGCCACGTGTATTTTGTGAATTTAATTTTTTTTTTTTTTTTTTTTTTTTTTTTTTTTTTTGGTTTTTTCGAGACAGGGTTTCTCTGTGTAGCTTTGCGCCTGTCCTGGAACTCACTTGGTAGCCCAGGCTGGCCTCGAACTCACAGAGATCCGCCTGGCTCTGCCTCCCGAGTGCTGGGATTAAAGGCGTGCGCCACCACCGCCCGGCTGTGAATTTAATTTTTGCTCCATGAATCTCTTCATACACATTTATTCTCTACTCTATTGTATACTTTTGCTATCTGACTCTTACCATTTTAGACATGACTGCCCATTTCTGTATTTTCAACACAGTGGCTCCATAACATATTCCAAATACCCAGTCCTATCAATAAATAGCATAGCAAATAGTATAAGCTGTTGTAGAGTTAATACAGAACCATAAAAATATTTCAGAAAAACTAAAGTATGTAACCTAATAATTAGTAAATATAAATTGTAAAGGTCCTGTTCATTAAAGAGTACTTTTAACATATTCCAAATGACCGGCCAAGGCCACTGAAAAGGGATGCTTCACTTTCTGTTTCTACTTTGCATACTCTACTAACAAGAAAAAAATTTCAGTATATTATAATCAACTTAAATAAAGCATAAATATAAAATGTTAATATATTTGCCCAATAGATGTCATTACAATTAGAAACAAAAATGCCAATTCTGCTTTAATTAACAAATAGTTTAGCTGAAAAGCATCTGTCTGAACAGGTTATGCACTTAAATATATTAAACACATCCAAAACAACATTATTTGAACTATTAATGTGATTATTTCAAAAATAGTGTAAATGAAAATTAACCTAAGTTTGGGTAATGGATGTCTGAGTTAACATAATTCAGTGGAAGGCTGAGGCAGGAGGGTGGAGAGGAGCTACTTGTAAAGAATGTAATGTTCAAAATGCATCAACGGAAATGCTGTCAAGTTCTAGAGGAAAACACCCTTACGGTAAGATGTTACTTTTGATTTCTGATTACTTCTTTACAAAAACAGTCATTACTTGGTTGTTTTCAAGAACTTTTAAACACCAGACTCCCCCTTAACCTGAGCACTCAGGAGGATGAGGCAGGAGGATCAAGAAGATTTTGAGGTCAACCTGGGCTATTTAGTGAAATTCTGCCAAAAACAAAACTTTAAACGATCTATGCAAACATAGGTTGCTTCAATTTGTATTGTATTTTGTTAATTTTTTATAGATTATGAGAGTTAACACAGTATCTTGTGTGCGTGCATTCATACTGTCTGTGCATATGTGTATGCACATTATCACATGTGAGTACATGTGTGTGAATGCACATGTGAACACAATATGTTGAGGACAGATATGGATGCCAGATGTCTTTCGATTGCTCTGCACTTTAATTACCGAGGCATGGTCTTTCACGGAATGTAGAGCTAGCCAACTGGAGTCAACAGTCTCGCTAGCTAGTTTCTCTTGAAGATTCCCTCATCTCTACTTCCAATTTCCACAATGTCAGAACCACTAATCAAATCCAGCTTTTAGACAGGTTCTGGGATTCACCCACAGTCTTTGTGCGTGCCCCACGGTCCTCGTGCATGCCCCACAGTTCCCATGAATGCCCCACAGTCCTCGCGCGTGCCCCACGGTGTCATATACATGACACTGGAATGGCTTCACATGACTAGAATTCTAGTAATTACATCATGTTCTCATCATCACACAGGATAAAGGTATTTTAGTAACATATTTATGCTGGAATTTCAGTTCCCTAATTCAGGTTTTCAGGACTCTCCTAGATCTATGCAAAATACAATGCTAGGGATGGTTTGAAACACCATGAAGACTCCAACAGAAAGGTATAGGTTGGTTTCATCCTTAAAAAATGAAAATTAAAAGGTTCATGCCCTATGTAAGTGTCTGTTGATACACCCAGCTTCATCCACACAGGAAAACAAGGAAGGTTCCTACACGGTGGCATCTATGTACTTCTCTACTGTCTCATGGCCTGTTCTCTGACCCAAGAAACAAATGCACATTCAGTCTGCAAGTGACACATGAGGACTGCTAAGCCCAAATCAGGGACAAGCTGGTGCTGGCTTTTCTGCTTCCTTCCCCAGGAGGAGAACCTGGGGGCTGGCACTTCCTGCTGCATCCCACACAGAGAATGCCAGCAATCTGGGGCACTTCAAAGATTTAGATAGCATCATTTCTCTTCTCCCCTCCCCTCCCCTCTCTCCCTCCCTCTCTTCCTTTATTTTTGTGTTTTTAAGACAGGGTCTCTCTACACAGCTGTGGATGCCATGGAACTCACTACGTAGACCAGGCTGGCCTCAAACTCACAGAAATCTGTCTGTCTCTGCCTCCCTAGTGCTGGAATTAAAGATGTGCACTATCAATGCCAGGCTCAGCAAAATTTCAATAACAATTTGGATAAGAAAATCAAACTTTTGTTACTACAAGTGATTAATAAGTGCAACTTCCTTGTTCCATTTTTGATAGCGAAAATACAGAAATAAAAAGTAAAGAATGGAAAAGAGAACTTAAAATGATTTTATTTTATTTTGGGATAAAACTGAACAAATGACACACTGTTAAGCATCAAATTTCTTCTTTTACTACATTCAAGTCTGCACACCATCCACATCATAAAACTAAACTATAAACTCTTTACAAATAAAAAAGTGCATTATTCTTTTTAGTAAATAAGAACTTATAGTGTTGATTAAAAACCACATGAAAAGGAAACATTTAGAAACTTAAAACTCTTGAAATAAAAAACTGGAAGATCACACACACACACACACACACACACACACACACACACACACACACACACAAAAAAAAACCCTGTAAGATTTATTGTTAAATATTTAGACATGCCATTATATCAAGGCACAATATATATGAATTTTATATCATAGAAAATAAATCAAAGTATGTTATAGAAAATTTCACTGAGAGGATGATCAACATTTAGCAAAATTAGCTCCAGAAGTCAGCACATCATTTTCTGGAAATACATAGGTAGTATATACTACAGGGATCCAAGCCACACACACTATGACTTCTCCAATCTATAAAGGTATGTAAACAGTCACAGATGAAGCATGGGGATATACATGTTTCTGTGTTCCAAGAACACTTCCCAGAAAGTCAGTCAGCACAGAGGCTGCCTATGCAACCTTCAAGTAGATTACACATTACCAGAGTAGCAGTAAGTGGGGATAACAGATGGTGTTATATTCTGATATTTCCAAGATCTTCTTAAAAATTTAAGTAGCACATACATCTTACCTGATTAGGTATCCTCAGTGGGGGTCTTGGGCCTCCAGGGTACCGAGGGGACATAAAAGGCTATTGAAAACAAACAAACAAACCACAAATCAGGACAATATAAAATACAAATCTAAAAACAAACTATTTGAAAAATTCAGAATTAATACAAGTCATACATCAATTCATTTTCCTATGTGGCTCTTTTCAGCAGAATAAAACCTTCCAAGGAAAGTGTCATCCTGCTTTTTATTTTGTAGAATATCTGGAAATTTTCCAAAGAAAATATGAAACCATGAAAGATGATTAACTACACAATTCAAAATATAAATTTCTAAAATAAGGATATCAAAGACAAAATAAAGAACCCATAACTATTTGAAGAGGAGGCTTGATGGTTACTGCAGTATACAAGATAGGTTCTGAATGTATACTTTTGAATATATTATAATCTTTATTATCAGTTTTCAATAAAAATTTAAAGTCAAATTTTATTCCTTCATGGCTGTTCTCTATAAGATTGCAAAGAACTTTGTTTTCTAAGAGTCGTCTATGGTCAAAAAATACTTCATTGGCTTTTTCCCATTGTGAGTTTGTTATTAACTATAAACTTTAAAGTAAAACTCCTTTCCATATTTTGATTGTAGTATATTTTGAACTATATACATTTAAACGAAAGGGAAATTGTCTTCTTTTAAAAGTCATACTATTTATGTTGTTGGAGGAAACACAGACTCCTCTAAGTTGGGTTAAATCTTTCAGTAGGGAACTAAGTATCTGGGAGTGTCTTTGCAGTCAATGCCTACAGGGAAGTGTCCAATACTTGACTTCTTAAGACTTGGGTGTTCATTTCTAGAGGCCATTAAATTATTCAAAATTTCTATTTTATTATACTTTTAATCACTAGCAAAGTAATTATAATTTTTCTGATTTATATATTAATACTATTTCTTAAATATAAGATCCTTTACATATAAAATAAGCAAGTGCTTATTTCTAATGGGCTGTATATTAATTAAAATATCAAGAATAGTTTAATGTATATTGAGAGTCAATTAAATAGATAGCAAGTATATCAAGTTCACAACATTTTACATTATTGAACCCTGCATTTATACCTTTTATAAATCAAAAATCAGGTCTGCAGCAATAACTCTCGAGAAATCTCTGCCATGCAGATCTGTTTCTATAGTCCATTTTTCCATCTAAGAAGCCAACAAATGAAGTTTACGATGAATGCACGGCTTGCTTTGCTCTTTGCGCTCCTGTGTGTCACTGTGTTCCCAGGAGACCACTGACTGGGCAGAAGTGGAGGATTGTGCAGTGGAGGATTGTGCAGGTCATAGAGTTACCTCCAGTTGCTAGACCTTAAGTAGACTTTCCCATGTTAACAAAGTCGATTATAAAAAGGTTTAGCTTTCATGGATGTGATCAGAGTCCGCTCTCCTCTTCACTGGAGAAGTTATTCTAAGTGACTTGATAAGTAACTCCATACTACCAGCTAGAAGCGTACTCCAATATCCAGGCTCTGTTCTTTTCTAAATTATCCAATTTTACTTACACAATTACAACTGTCAATTCTGGATTCACTTCTAAATTTACTAATTAGGTACTATATTATTAGTTTTATAATAGTTGCCTTTCTTTACAAAGTGATATTTCATGATATAAGTCATAAATTCAAGGTATAATATCAGTTTACTGAAATACGGAGAAATAAATGTAACCTACTAATAATTCCTACCTATGATAAAATCAGTTGGGAATGGAGTAAAGGTCAAAAAAATGTGAAAAGTATCACTAAATACCAAATGCTGGGATAAATAACTGTTCAGTACCTTATTTGAAATATAGCACTTGGGAATGATATGATCACCCAATGTGAAAAGATGCCACAGTGTTAATTTCATGGAGTATTTGACCTCTAGTCTGAATTATGAATCAGTCTATTTGAATAAGATTATCTGTACCTTTCTACCTGTCTTACAGAAGTTACCAGAGGCTGTTGGGAGAGAACATCACTATGTAGTGACTAGGGACGTATAGGTCCTTGTAAGACAATATTGAGAGATATAGACTCTGGTTTAGACAGCTTATTTCCTCATGTGCCTTCCTCCAAAAAAATCACTTTGCATTTTGGTAAAGGCAGGAAGGACAGGAGCCAGGGAGAGAGGAAAGGAAAGGAGACGGAGGAGGGAGTCACAAACTAAATATCTTCACAAAGCATACATGACAATAAGTCTAGTTCATTTTGATTTTTAGAAATATTTCTTTTTTTTTTTTTTTTTTTTGGTTTTTCGAGACAGGGTTTCTCTGTGTAGCTTTGCGCCTTTCCTGGATCTCGTGCTGTAGACCAGGCTGGCCTCGAACTCACAGAGATCCTCCTGCCTCTGCCTCCCGAGTGCTGGGATTAAAGGCGTGCGCCACCACCGCCCGGCTTAGAAATATTTCTATCTAAGTCATAAAGAATGCTTTGGTGAAAGTTTTCTTTAAAATTAGTGTTGACATAAATTCTAACTGTTCAGACCAATCCTGACTCTAAGGTAGCTTAACTGTCCAGTGAGTTAGCTTAGCAAACACAGCATTAGAGGACCAGATTGTCTGCAATGGATCAGCTGAGCAATTCTATGCTGGCATCTGTACTTCACCATTAGGAAGGCAACTTAAATTAAGCTACGGTAAAATACTGATCTAGGCCAGAGATTATCCACTGGTATTGTGAGTTACACGTGTTCATAGACATGTTGGTACTCTCTGCATTCCTAATTTAGGACAAACATGTTCTTCAAAGACTCCTTAACCCTGAAAATGAGCTTCTTCTTTATATGTGAGGCAGTTTGTTTTGTTTAATTTTGGTTTTTGATTTAAGTAGGGCATCAAATCCCTGGGAAAAGTTATTTATAATGTATGTGAAAAAAATCTGTGAGTCTAGAGCTTGGATGCTAGTATTTGCTTCATAACTAATTAGTAGGGTGGCCTTGAGCTGTAAGCTCTGGGGGCTGCAGTTTTCTTAACCTTAAAATGAAGAAGTTGGAACAGATAATTTTTAAAATTCTTTACTAAACAAGGGATCCATGATTCTGGGATAAGTCCTTTCTACTTTGCCTTTAAATACAAAGACTAGTATACTTCGCAGCTGTAGACATTTGAGTCGTGTACGAGTGGGGAGGGGTGGGGAAAAAGGCATATGCTTCTAAGACACAAGCCATCTTTATCAAACAGAGAAAATGACCACGTGTTCTAGAATAAAAGAAAAGCATGGTTAAGGAAGAAATACAGCGACAAACAATGATGCTCACTGTCATGAGGCATTAAAGGTCAATGGGGGGGGGACACAACAGAAGTGCCGACTAATCTGAGAATGTGGTGATGGGGTCCCTCATTTGACAAGTCACTCACAGGGCACAGGTTTAGGTAGCTGGATTTGCCATTGAACAAAGCAGATAAAGCTTACTGTTCTCTCCCTGGGATTCTTCAAGGTTCACCATGTTATTATTAATCTAAGATATAATTTTCTGGAAAAATGCTCTATGCATCAGTCCTCTAATTTGGAACAAATTGAATGTTCTCTTCACCAAATGTCAAGTACCAATGAAAGCTCAAAGAGAATAATACTTTACTCTGTGTCTTCCCTGGAAGCCGTATTGCATCATCCTTACTTGATCAAAATGCAGCTCTAAGTGACTGCAAATCTAGATGAGGTTTCCAGTTTCCCAACTGGTCCACCTGTATAACACACGATCATCTGGCTCGCAAAGTTCTTTCTGCATGTTCCCATTATCAACATGTGCTTTGAGTGTTTGTGTTGCACAGAATTCCTGTGATGAAACCGAGATCTCCAGCGCAAAGCTTTTTGAAGACGGGCCTGTGGGGCATCTTTCTGGGGTTGGGGTGGAGCTGTCCTGAAGAGTCTGCTGTCTTAAGGAAGAGGCAGAGAGAGATGACTGTCCCATTGTGAGCAAATGACTGCCCACTAAGAAGGAACTGAACACAAGGCTGCTTGGATTTTTAGTTTTTTTGTGGGTGTTTTATTTTTGAGACAGAATCTCATAGCTCAGAGTAGCCTCAAACTTGCTGTGGAGCTGAGGATGACTTTGAATTTAGGATTCTCTGGCCTCCATCTCCTGAGTATTGGGATGTAGGTGTGCCACCATGCCAGGCTAACTGGGTGCTAGAAAATGGCGCTTACTTCATGTAAACATATGACAAAACACTCTACTAACTGAGCTATGCCCTCAGCCCAGCTCCTTCATTTTGACTATTCTTAGCATCAGGACTATGAGGATAAGTCTGTCGCTTAAATCACCTAATCTACAGTAGTTTTGTATTAGCAGCCCAAACTGACTACACCTAAAAGAAATGGGCTAAAGAAAAGTAGGAAGACTACAGATATATATTAGAAAATCATTGTGTGACGACAAAACAGAAAGAAGGCTGACAATACCTAACAGAACACCAGCTCACTGCCGCCAAACAGTCTTTCAGGAAATAAAATTATGTCACTTAGGATCATAATGTATTTAAGAATAAATGTCATTAAAGTTTTAGTGTATTACTATTTTCTATTCTCCCAAGAATTATTTAGAATTTTTAAACTGCTTTTCTAAAGGGAAGATTATCATTTATTCCTTATCCTTTCTGTTACATTTATAATAAAATATGACCTATATAATCTTTTATATATATTATATATATGCTTTTTGATACATTTTAAACTAGGAGGTTTTCCTTTTTAGAATTCATTAAATCAACCTTTTTATATGTGAAAGAAAACCAAAGATCCAATTTCTTAATTGCCATTTTAGTTTTCCTACCTCTGACTCTGCTACCAGGATGGGGATAGCACGTATGCATGCTTCATTCTGAGGACCAACCAACACAAACCAACTGCTTGACTTAGCATTTCCTCACAGGCCCCAGCAACTGTGTGACCATTCACTTAATGTGGCCTTCCTTCCCCCAGCCACCACTCAACCATGAAAAGCTGAAAAGGCAGCAGTATTTCCAGTAAGCAAGTTAATTTGCATATAAACCACTAATTAGCATGTGGTCTTGGTTCATCAGACAAAAAGAAACACCAT